AAAAAAAAAAAAAAAAGATAATTTATCATTTATTTTTAAGAAATAGGAAGATATGTGTTTAACAGAATAAAAGTCTTTTGGCAATTTTAGAGTTTGTCCTCCCTGGGTTTTCTTTGAGCGGATCTGAATTCTAGCACTTTTAAACCTTTAAAAAAAGCCTTGTATGTTTTTAATTTTGTATTTGATCTTGTATGTGCCATTAGTTTAATGTGTAGAGTTTATTCATCTTTATGTAATTGTTGTTTTTCTCCTTTCCCAAAAGAGTAACTATTTTAGATAGATTTTCACTAATATTAACAGCATTGGCCCTTTTCCCACGCTGTCTTGTCATACATTTGAGGAAGTCATTTAATCTTAAAATAGATGTTAGAGTAACATGCTCAGAATCATTCTCTGTGTCTGAATTCTGAAATTTGATCAAATCCTCATTGCCACAAACAAAAGAAAAAACGTTTCCAGCTCCATCTATAACTGAGGTGTTTTCAATCAGCATTTCTTATAACAAGCTGGCAGGTTCAACTGGTGTGAAATTGTTCCCAGCTCTCTGCCCCCCGAAAAGCACTTTTGGTTCAAATTAAGTTTTATATAATAACTGCCTGAATAGTTGGAGCTCAGCATCTGAGTTTAGTTTTCAGAGGTGTTTTTCTTTTTTTAACCAGCAATATTCTGCAACACAGACAGATTAACCAAGTTAAATTGATCTTTTCCTCTCTTGTTGCAATGCACTTGTCCTTTACTCCCCAAATACTAACAAAAATATTAAGGGAAATTATGAGGTAACCAAGCTAGGGTAAAACAAAACAATCTGACTTTTAAGAAAAGGAAAAATGATTCAATAAAATGCTCTTTCGGCTTATAGTGAGAAAATGGGTATGTCCGCAGAGGACAAAATCCACTTGTAGTTTGATATATTTTAGCTTAATGTAAGTCTTGCATTCCAAGCTTTTTATGTAACTTGTTTAGCAATATAATCGTTTTATTTTTAGTACTTGCTTATTACCACGACTTCTGGAAAAAAAGGTGAAAACAGAAAAATGGAATATTCAACCTTACACTATTTTATATAACATGGAGAAGATGATTGACAGGACGAATTGTACAAAAGAAATGCATAACGGAGACAAACTGTGCTTTTTTTGTTACACAGCTCACCTGCGGTCAGTTGCTGCATTGTAAAGTTGACAGATTTGTATATTGGTTGATCCAAAGAGATGACATTACAACAAACCTATTTACTTATTGTACAGTACATTGTACCATTTGACTTGTGTGTTATGTTAAAATGATTAAAAGACGAACCCACGGTTTCATATTTCTGGCGTCCTTTTTTTAAGCGTCTGATTTCCTGTCTGCAGAGAGGGTGCGAGAAGAAACGGGCTGTTATGGCTGAAAACTGCCATTCACATACCATACAGCCAGAACAGGAAACCACACCACAGCACACAAATGAAAAGACAAGAAGGGCACAAGTCCAAATAATAAAAAACTGAGCTATAGCCAGGCTTAATTATAAAGTGGACCTCAAACCTATACTTTCACATCTCAAAGAGTTGTTTTAGGCCCAAACTGCCCACCAACAATACATAACGCTCCATCATTTCTCATGTGAAAATGACTTAAATCAGGAGGAATTTGAGGTTTTACAGTCTTGTCTTGTATTCCAAGAACAGCCAAGGCTCTGACTTCCTAATCTTCTGAGAAAACACTCCCAACGTGGCCCGAATTGGAGAAAATGCTCAACGCGTAACGTGCCGAGCGAACGATGTTCTCAACAAAACCTGGACGGTGTTTTAAATGTCAACATATTGGCACCTTTATTATTTAATACATTAGAAATGGACACTTTTAAAAGAGGAAGGGGAAAAAATAACATGCTTTTACCTAAAACAAAGACATAATGGGACAAACAGCTCCACAAATAAAACCCTAAAATGCAACACTATAAAGTACTGTATTTACACCATAAACATACACATCGACCCAATGCAACAGGCAGAATAAAGTGCATCTGTAGAAGATATGTTCTGTAGATCTTGCATTTCTTCATTAAGTCACCTGTGAGGACGACAGGAAATACAGACCTGTCTAAAAGCAGATGTAGATTTTGCTATAGTGTTTTAAACTACTGAATCCTGCATCTGCTTCACTTTAGGGCATAGAGTCACAATTAGGATCCAAATATTGTATCTTGTGTTTTGAGAGAGCTAAAAATTATAACCATTTTAAGTTCAAATCTAAAAAGTACCATGGATGTAAGCAAATATACCGCTACCTGCTGGGCACTGCACAAATTTGTGTTGATACCCTTGAATTTTGGGGTAAATCCACCAAGATGCATCTGATTTTGGCTACAGCAATAGTCAATAGGTGGTCAATACATGGCAGAAAGATTTTTTTACAAAAAAAAACAGCTTCTCTAATGTGGAATATCAAATGTGTGTGACATTGAAAAACAGGCCTTTCTCTTAGTGGCAAAGAACAAACAAAGCGATACTGCATTATTATAAGTCTTTTATAGGTCCATTGACCAGCAAGCACAAGGAAACAGAAGGAAATCTACTTCTTTTTTAATGTCCTTGCCTCATCATGTCTTTACATCCCATAATTTCAGTCCATGCCAACATATAAAGACCACAGAGTGACCACACATTCACACACACATACATACAAACATACAAGACAAGCATTCAGGAACTCAGTTTTGAATCAAAGACAGAAACAAGTTGAAATCAAATGTTATATTAAAAGGACACAAAGCTAATTTGTAAAATGAGATATGCAACTAACCCTCAATGTCTTCAAAAGCATGAGACCCAGCCCACAACACCAACATCCCCACCCAAACTTAAAGAAAAAAGTAAATCGACACACTTTGGCCCATGTTGTGTGTGCAAAAAGATATACAGACATTAAAAATGGAACTGTTCATGTTGTTTCTTTACATCTTTGCTGAGGCAGAGATAGCAGGACAGAAAGGTGTACAAAACACATCTCTGTTCATTTCTCCAGTCCATAGGGGGGGCGCTGCTGTGCCTCATGCCAGCAATTTACACGTCAGTGCTTGCTTCACAAAACAGAAAAAAAGGAAACAAAAACTGAAAGAATTATTTCAGTCGATTTTGACCGCAGCATAAATTTTCCGTATGAACACATAAGAGGCATAGAAGCCAATCGTTCCCGTTAGCAGCCAGAAAGACAAAACCATCAGGGTTGTGTAGCCAAAATACAACAGAGAGGGAATGAACTCCACAATGTCCAGCTGGGAGGGAAAAAGAAAGAAAGAAAGAATGTAAATGTTGAGTACCTCAAAACAGAGATAAATGTGTTATTGGATACAAAAAATAGATGCAGCTAGTCACGTAAACGTCAATCTTGGACTTAATTTAGCTAGCAAATGTATTTTAAAATGTATTTTAACTAGGCCTATTTCAATTGATGCTATGTCCATCTTTCCTTTTTTAGTTTTGCATTTTGTAAAAGCAGTTTATAAATTTATATAATTATAAAGCAGGTTTCTAACAATCTGCCCATCCTAAAATCAGTAGATTAAATAAGCATTTTCAGAAACACAAACTTTACTGTTAATTTGATAACATTACAAAATATTTCTATTTCAAATAAATGTTGCTCT